CTTAGTAGGAAATCATGCATCTCAATATTTTTCAAATCACACGTCTAGTTCCAGCTGTTGCGAACTAGTTTGAGACAATTAAGTAAAATTATTATAAATCGGGAATAAGAAACTTTTTCTCTCAAAAGAATCCTACAACTGAGACCTCGACCAACCTACAATTTTATTAATTTGACTAGAGAGATTCAAAATTCCTTGCCTGAACGACAAAAATTCATCGGTTACCATATGAGAAGTCCGATTGGAAAAGTTGTGATTTCAACCGAGAATTTTAGTTCTGTTTCCTTGAAGTATCGCAGAAACATGATTACCTATTGATTCCTTTGCGTATCACCAACAAGTGCAATGGGCAACCGACGAAATTCCGCATCAGTATCTTGTTGTTTGGTAGGAATGAAGTCGTTATCCAAAGTCATGCTGTGAACAGTTGTGCTGTCGACTGGCTCAATACCCCACATATTCAACAAGGACCTTATATTATTCGTTACTTCGAGTCCAAAGGCTCAACTCCCTATCGCACCAAGGTGGGCAATAAACAATTGCGCACAATGAAATCACTTCCTAGTTTCGTCATCGAAACTGGATGCTTGTAGGCTATGTACACAAATATTCAAATGGTGGTTTTATCATGTTACTGATGAGTAACTAAATGAAAAAATTTTCATACTTGTTCACACAAGCATTATACTGATATTAAATGTCATTGTGCAACTAAACACATTCCTCACCCGACGCGGCTGAAAACGTTATACCTTTCGGTCTGGTGTGCCGGAACTATAGTCGACTGTGTGCACCGAGTATTTCGCTATATGTGTGCTACTTTACACTCCGAACTATAGAATCACGCCATCAGAAGAATGCCATAGTGGGCTGATGATGCAACCCAACGGCAGATTCACCAGTGAGATGCGTGCTTGGTGCTGTGAATCACTGATTTCTTGTTTTGTTTGTTTTGTTTTCTGATTTATCGCAGATTTGTAACTCATTCGTTATCTGTTTCCCTAGTGACTGAGTATAGCAGTGTCAGTATGGAGGTGGCCGTTTACCGATGAACCCCTCTTATTTAACCTCTTATAGTTAGTATGTACTGTAAGCGGTGTATGAATTAATGACGGAACGAATCATTGTTGAAGTTTAGCTTGTCAGTAAAAGAGAAAAACAGGTTTTAAACGTAAAAGCGAATGTGATTAATAAAGGTGAACCGTATGTTCTGGCGGAGGAGACCCAAATCCCATCAGATTTGAACAAATGCGTGAATGATTAGGGTGGAAGAGAAACCATTTGTGAATCCATTGGAACGATGATGGCAGTGCTCGAAAATCGGAATTCCCTAACCGATTACGACAGGGAGTTACACCGTTTCACAAACCAGCATTGGTCACGCATCAGAAAGAGCAAAGGTGTATTTGTTGTGAAAAATTAACTGTAGGCACCGACGGTGGCAGCGAACAAACAGAAAGAAGTGATGAGATGGAAATAAAATAAAGTTTTGTAAAAACAGGCACCAAATAAGGACAATTTAAACGAGGAAAAAATCATGTATTTGATTGTTCTGATGCATAGGACACGCTCTGTTCGGTAGTCTTCCAATAGTCATGTTCGGCTCCGAATAAAAATGATAGGGGTTTTGTTCATGCTTCTATCGCGTGAGAACTCACAAACAGCATCTATTTATTGGAAATGCATTTAAATGTCGAAAGTTTGCTATGTCGGTCTCAATATGGATACAGAAGTGATAGACGATACCAATGGGTCTAACCAGGTTGGTAACAGCCGAAAAGTCCTATTTGTTGAGCTTCATAAATTAAAAGTTCCTAATAATGGAGATAGAACGTTGGATTTTAAGGACAGATTCTCACATTAGGGCGATGATACATAGACCACAAACCATTGTTACTTCATACAGAATAAAACGTAGCAACAGCTTCCAGCCATAAAGCCATGCGCTCAAGCGTTGTCTTTCAATCGTGTAGCTCAGGGCTAAGCTCTAAACACAGTGGTCTGCCTTTCGGTTCCCAATAGACCCCTCACATAGATAAAAATCCTTTAGCTAGGGTAAACTCTGTCAAATATCTTGGTGTAACCGTAGAGGACAATCTTTGTTAATCAACTCAGATCCATAACTGCGCTGGTAAACCGCGGCAACTATCATTCCAAATTCGAAACTCCAAACAGCTTTGCGACTCCGTTAGTTATTTCTATTTTTGCATAAGTGTGTTTTCCCCGTCTTACCTTATGGTTCTCCAGTTATGTTCCCTGGCTTGCTCAAACAAGATTTTAAAGACGTCGAAGCCGTGGTCTAACGACCATTAACCGCGTTTCTTCAATTTATGCGGAAGAGTCAATCGTGAAAATTTCAGATTATCGTTGAACTTCTCATGTCAACGCTGCGGCGAAGATTTTCTTGTAGACCCAAATCTCCCATTGCAGTCAGAGCTGACAAGTTGTCGCTCCAATCCCCATCCCATCCCACCCCACACCCTCCTACCCACATGCTCTGGATTCCGACCATCTAGTGTAAACGTTTACCGAAAATCGCCTAAACCTCATCCTGCGTCTTTACTTACAACGAAAAAAGAATGAAACAAGTGAACTTCGGTCCAGTCCTGGACTACGAAATGTCCCTATGCTGTCCGTAAACAATTTCCCGCCACTGAATACGTTCCGCGTCACGCTGGGCGTGTATAGATGTTTTTAAACCGAAATTCAAGCTTCAGAGTTTGCAGATGTTACACAATAAGAACATAATATAACAGAGAAACAAAAAATGTGCATCCCCGCTGAGTTCAAACAATAGCAAAACAACTATCTATATCTAGTGCTATTTGTTAGATATGACAAAAAATTCTTTCATAATTAAAAATATGCTGATATTATATAAATAGTAGTAAAAATATTATTACTGTAATCATTTTTGATAGCGAGGAGTGCAAAACAGTTTTCTAAACACGTGCACATACAGTGCACGGCATTCCCAATGAAATTTTCGACCCGTTCTCGGTGCCCTCAATGCGTGTGCATCCTTGATTTGTAAAAAATGAGAATAGGTCACGTGAGCTTATATTGATCAACTAATCATATCGCTGCAGTGTGGTGTTGTGCATGATGCACACACGTGAACTGGAGTGTGTCTATCGGACACTGAAGTGATTTAACGCTACTCAGATGGTACGAATCCTGATCAGGAGGCAGTTGTAAACGAACCAACAATGGATCCTCCGTTCAGCTCGATTCTCAATTATTCAATTGTTCCTTTGAACATTGCGACTCTTGCGAATTGTAGAATTTCACTTTGTGCCTTCCTTATTGATACAATCGAGAATGCTTTTATCCCGCGGAGATGACTTACCAACCTGCATGAAAAGATTTTCTTCTTACCTAATGTGATTTCGGACGGTATTTTTGTGTGAAGAATCAGATCGGTGTTATGTTCGGACTTCCGGGACATAAGCTTTTATACATTTCGATTGCTTACTTTGATTGCCTGCAGGAACGTAACACTTCATTGCTACACGAGTTCAGGTACGAACCGGGCAAGCAAATGTTTACTTCTCGGCCCACACACACACACACACACACAGACTGACCGACTGACTGACAATCCCAGTGTGCAACTCTCGGGTCACAACGCGATTCATGGGCTTAGACTGAGGCGATTATGCAAACCAAGCTTATATGTTTGTACCATGGGCGTGGATGTTTTTTGTTAGGACCGAATCCTGTCTGATACCTTCCAATGTCAGCCCCGTGTTCATACTGATGCCCATTTGATTGGTGTGAGGTTAGCCGCTCGGACGCTTACAACTACGTGTCAGGTTAGCTAGGTTTCGAGGATAAGAGGAGCCGGATTTTGACGGCACATGAAGAAAACCGTTCGATCGTATAGGCAATGTCAAAGTGAAGCCTAGGTTTTCTATGGTAGAGCAGACTTTGGAAGGAAACCGGAGGAACAGGACAATGAACTAGGGCAGAATGGTACTCATTTATCGCTTTGGTGTAACCGAATTGGCAACACGAACAACAACAACAACAAACACCTGGTAAGAACTGGAACTTTGACAAGCAGTTGACAAGCGAAAACAAACTTAGTTTGGATCAATAAGATTGCATTCCATGGAAGTGGACATGATTGTAGCTTATTCAGATAAAGCAAAGCTTTCCCTGTGCTACAGCTTGACATGTCTGGTGAAACATTTTACAGAAATGTGACGGAAAACGGGCAGACAACATTGCCGAAAAATATCTGAAGACTACACGGCTCTCCCC